ACAATGAGGTTTTATAATACATATATGTTAGTAAATATTTTAAAATAATCTTTAAAATCTATTAAAATAATATCTCCTTTTAATAGTTTTTATTTAATTGATGACTCTGGCAATTTTCTAACTGGATCCAGTAAGCTCTCTTCTCTTTCCTAGTTCTGACTCTGTTAAAATTGTTCCAAGTTATGGGATGATTCCATGTGCTTACATATTTATGGATTTTATTTCCCATTTTAGTGACAAAGAAACATCAACTTTGTATCCTACTGATGTTCTCTGTCTCTCCTTAAATTCTGATTGCTTAAAAACAGCTGTGTTAAAAGCTGGTTTGGCTAAATATATACTCATTCTAAACCATTTAAATGATCACTTTGTAACACTAATAAAATCTGGTCTAAATCAATGCTCCTCATAAAAATGTCCAGAAGCTACAAAAGTCTAATAATTTTGTTGTATTATTAGTCACAATGGTTGCCTTAATGAAAAAAAGGTCCAGAGGACTAAAAAGGGATACATGTTTAACAAAATCTTACAGGTACTTTTTTTTTTCTTTTTCTTTTTCTTTTCTTTTTTTTTTTTTTTTTGATGAGCAACGCACTGTGCCTCCTGTTTCTTTCTTTCTTTTTTATTTGATAGACAGAGTTAGACAGCGAGAGAGTGAGAGACAGAGAGAAAGGTCTTCCTTCTGTGGGTTCACTCCCCAAATGGCTGCTACGGCCGGAACTATGCCAATCTGAAGCCAGGAGCCAGGTACTTCCTCCTGGTCTCCGATGCGGGTGCAGGAGTCCAAGCACTTGGGCCATCCTCCACTGTACTCCCGGGCCACAGCAGAGAGCTGTACTGGAAGAGGAGCAAACGAGACTAGAACCCGGCGCCCATATGGGATGCTGGCGCCGCAGGCAGAGGATTAACCAAGCGAGCCATGGCGCCGGCCCCTACAGGTACTTTCTAAAATACTGTGTGGAGTAAACAAGTGACTCTTCTTGTTGGTTAATAAGTTTTATAATTTTAACCATGGCTATTTAAAGCCTTTTGTCATTTGCAGTTTTGTATTTTCCTCTAAACACTAAAAATCAGAATTACTGCTCATAAAAATTAAAACATTGTTGGTTCTGTGTTTAAACGTGTCCTCTTTTAGGTTTCAAAGGCTTTCTTTTTCCTACCTTTATTATATTCAGTACTTTGGTATGGCTCTACAAATAGATAAAGTCAAAGTTTAACAAGTTCCAACTAAAAAAAATATGGTTATTTCAGTTTACTAAAAACAAAAAGCAATCTAATTAATTGGTAATTTAAACAGTTAAAGATCTTAAAAAGCTGTTATTAAGGCTGTTTTATTGTTCTATTCTGTAATGTATGTTATGTGTTATATGTGTACATATTATATGTCTATTATATGTTTATTAAGAGCTCTTTTAATTGACTTATAGAAATAAGATTGCTCATAAATTTAAACTACTTAGTCAATTCAAAATACATTTTTGGTTCACCTAATCTAAATAAACCTCTGTATCAGGTGTCATCTGGGGAGTGAACCAGTGGATGGAAGACCTCTCTCTACCTCTCTCTGTAACTCTTTCAAATAAATAAAATAAATCTTAAAAAAAGATTATAATTGATATTAGTTTCACATAGGTTTTAGGTTAGCTTGACCCCAGTAACCATTTTTCCTCCCTGATCCTAGCAACCATGTACTTCCCTTCCGATTTTGTGGTTTTTGCCTTTATAAACACTGTTGCTTTGGACTTTGGGGTCAAGAGTTCTTTAGGGTATGAGTCCAATCTCTGCCACCTGCAATAAAGGACCATCAAATTTTATCAATGTGTGATACTCCTTTGTTTGCACTAGCTCAGGTACAACACTAGAAGATAGTTTTAAAAATTGGAGAGAGTACAGTCTCAGGGAAGAGTTAGGGCGAAAACAGCAGAAGAAACTGCATGCAAATTGGAGGGACACAATGGAGGGCGAAGACACACACAACTCAGGACCCCAGTAGGGGAGAGCCTCCACACCAGTGTTGGAGAGTGAGGTGAGATCAGACTACAGCAGCCCAAGCCACTGGCAAAAAAGCTGCAGGAAGTGCTTAGAGGGAATCCAGCTTGGAGCCCCACGGGGGACAGTGTGCCTGCCAAACTTGAGTAGAAAAAACAAAGCGGGGTGCACATTTTCTCTCTCCCTGATCACACTGCAATGGCATCCTGTAACAAGCTGATAGAGGGCAGGCGCCATTTTGGACATACGTAACAGCTGTGCTAGCTCGTGTCCATGCCCAGCAACCAGCCAAGCAGAGACTCCTGGGGTTGGTGGGAACAGACAGGGGGCTGGGTGCTCGTGAGTGTGGGAATCCTTTGTTGTGTACTGGGACTGTGAAAACACCGAGGCTGTGTGGGAGGACTTGGGGTGTGGCTGGGACATTGGGCAGTCACTGAGGGAGGCTCCACATGATCAGTGCTCCCTGGTTACCTGACAAGTGACACTGCTGGGGAATTTGAAGTTACAATGAAGACTGCACAGAGCCTTGTGGCAGAGTGGACAAATAATATACCCACTGGGGCTAGCATCCAGGCACTGGGCTTCTTTGAGGAGAGGAACTCAGCTGAGTCTACACCAACAGACAAGAACAAACCTCTCCTCATATTAAAAAAAAAAAAAAAAAAAAAAAAAGAGGAGATTCATTGCACCAAACTTGGGTGTGTTACCGCAGACATGCCCTTCACCCTGGAGCACAGAACAGAACTCCTTGGCCACAGCCACCACATGCCTCTAGGTATTCCCTGAAAGCAGACACTCCACTAATCTATGCATAGTCCAAAGATAAAAGCTACCATAGTGGAAAAAACAAAGAAACCACCACAAATGCCAAATCACAAATGCACCAATTCGAGAAACAAGAATAAGGAAAACAACATGATGCCCCCAAAAGAACAAAACACTTTAATACTAGATTGTAAAGATGATGAGATTGAGGAAATGCCAGAAATGGAATTCAAAAAATTGATCATAGGATTACTTAGAGGTAATTAGAAGCAAATGTATGAACTAATGAAATACTTAATGACATGAAAGAAAATTTCTTCCACAAAATTAAGCTCTTAAAGAGAAATCAAAATGATTTGAATAATCCTTGTTTTGATTGTTGAGGAATAGTTGTTATTTCTTTTCTCCAATCTATTTGTTGAACTCTTTACTTAACATAGAATTAATCATATGTGTATAAAGCCAATTGAAAATAGATCTCAGTAAAAAATAATAGTGTGAATAAGAGAGGTAAGAGGAAGTCTGCAACTGTAAAGCTGTAAAGTCCTGCATATATTCCTACGAACTTACTTCTAAGGGTACAGCTTAAAAACTTGCCATAGGACCCCAAATCCCATTAAACTGGGTGGTAAAAATACCATCTTAAAGTGTTAAAGTGAGCACATTAAGTGTTAAGGTGATCACATAGATAGGATTAAGTGTTAAAATGTTTATATAAATAAGATCAAGGGTCTGGTAATAATAATAGAATTAAAAAGGAGAGAATGTTCCAACATGGGAAGCAGTCCACAGAGCAGACTCATAGAATGATAATCACTTTAAATAGCACTCTGGACTTAGAATGAGCCCTTAAGGCATTCTGATCTGGTAGAAAAGCCCATGAGAGCATTTCAGGCATGGAAAGCCAAGACACTGTGGCAAACAAATAACCTACATGAAGGATCTCTGTGAGCAAGATCCCAGTGGAAAGAAGGGGCCATCAAAGAAGGATGTACTTTTCTCTGAAAGGGGGAGAGAACTTCCATTTTGCTTATGGCCTTGTCTAAATATTGACAGAGATTGTGGATTCCATAGCCTTGGCAGCTCATGTCAAGAGCCTTGGGTGATCACTGACATCATACATAAGAGTGTTAATTGTTAAATTAACAACAGGAACCATTGTGCACTTCTCATGCAGGACTTTGTCCTCAATGAGTTGTATTATGAGAATTAACTATAAAATTTGTTCTCAAACATTTGTGTGTGTGTCAATTGTTGAAATCTTTACTTAGTATAGAGTTGGTCTTCTGTTTGTAAAGTTAATTGAAAATGAATCTTAATGGAGAATGGGACTGAGATTGGGAGGGCGGGCATGGTGGGGAGAATCACTATATTCCTAAAGTTGTACTTATTAAATAAAAGGTTTCTTTGGAGAAAAAAAAAAAAAAGTATGTACAAGGCTTCCAATTTATAGTGGTCTATTTAATCAAAGCAGGAATTTATAAATGCAAAGACAGCAACTTATCTGGAAATCAAAGTGACTAAACATTTTTAGTTCTAGAAAATATATATTTACATAGGTTAAGCATGAAACATTTGAAAAACAGTAAGAGATGACAAGGATAAAAAAGAAAATGAGTTCATGTAGTTTCTTTAAGCAATATTCCTTTGAAAATATTCTAATTAGACAATAAAAGAAAGCCTTGCCTATACCTGGACCTGTAAATTATAGCCAGTGGGCCCAAACTGGCTATGCTCATTCATTTCCTCACTGTCTATACATTGCTTCTGGGGAAGAGTTAAGTAGTTTCAACAAGAGACCCATGGCTCACATACGGAAAATATTTACTATCTGGTCTTTTACAGAAAAAGTGTGTGGACCTCTGGCCTTTAAGCATAGTTTCACCTTGCCCATCAGCTTGGGCAATTGCTATTCTTACTGTATGTTCCCTGTAGGCATGCTAGTAAAGGGGCAAAGTGGAAAGAGAAAGGCAACCAAGGGAAATTCATAAAGGGGACAAAGAACTTGGATTTTTTTGCCTTTTAACTCAACAAGAACACTTTTCAGTGATGTAGCTGTTCTTCTGAGAATGCTGATAAGATCAGCTTGCTCATGCTGTAAGCAAGTATCTTAAATAAACATATCCCTGGAGATATTTTTTATTTTCTGGCATTTTTATGTGTCTCTAGTGAGTAACAGCTCACTCAAGACTCAAATGGGAAAAAAGGAAAGAAATTCTCATTTTAGCGCCCCCCAACAGACTTACCTTCGGCATAGTGAATACATCCTGTTGGAGGCAGTGATTCGAAAATACTCTGGTTTAGAACGAGAAGAGCTGCCACTTATGGTTCCCAAACCTAAACGCTGATAATCTCTAAAACAAGCTTTTTCCACTAACTGTTCCATTGTAGACTTCTCTGAGGCTTTCAAGGTGGTGCTTGTGGGAAGTTCACTCTCATCTGAAACTGATGACAGAGACAGGTTTTGAAGAAGCGATCAAAATAACAGGTTAAAAACTTTTTAGAAAGGATCCTCAAAGAGGGGTTTATATTAGGGCTTTTGATTGTTATGTATATCATAAAATAAATCATATAACATCAATGAAGAACCATATTCAAATAAACAGAAAACAGTAATAGGAGATGAAATATCAGTAATAACTAAAACTCTCATTTAAATGATTTCAAAAACAATATAATTTTGAATTGATCATCCATATTTTCTGTTTCAATCAAGCTTGCTCATTTATGCCAGAAGACAGTGATCTCTATTTAGGACCTTATAAAAATACCCACACTTGGTCAGAGCTAACCTATTGGTAACGTTTATCTTTAATATGATCACTATACAATCTTTTTTTTTTTTTTTTTTTTTTTTTTTGACAGGCAGAGTGGACAGTGAGAGAGAGAGACAGAGAGAAAGGTCTTCCTTTGCCGTTGGTTCACCCTCCAATGGCCGCCGCGGCTGGTGCGCTGCGGCCAGCGCACCGCGCTGATCCGATGGCAGGAGCCAGGAGCCAGGTGCTTTTCCTGGTCTCCCATGGGGTACAGGGCCCAAGCACCTGGGCCATCCTCCACTGCACTCCCTGGCCACAGCAGAGAGCTGGCCTGGAAGAGGGGCAACCGGGACAGAATCTGGCGCCCCAACCGGGACTAGAACCTGGTGTGCCGGCACCGCTAGGCGGAGGATTAGCCTAGTGAGCCGCGGCGCCGGCCCCACTATACAATCTTATCACCCAGGTTTCAGCTATTTTTCAGAGCATAAACTTTTATTAGGAATTTCTAGATTAATCAGAAGTCACCAGAAGGAAAAAAATCTTTTCTTAGAGCAATATAAATTACAGTCTTTTTCTTGGAAATATTTCTGCTGGAGGAAGTGGTATTCACGGGAAATTCCCTCACAGTTTTGCAATCACAGGTTACAGACTCCCTGAATATTTTAGATGTGGAAGAATTTACTTAATAATCAAATATTTCAGGGAGTATTTAAAAAATGAAATTCCTAATTTGTACTGTGTGTTCTAATTTAAAAGAAATTCCAGGTTGGAAAATGTCCTAATTTACTTTCTTATTTATTTTTAAGGTGATAGAAGTCAAATCAAACTTTTGAAGTTTTTAGACACATACTCAAATTAATATGCAAGGGAATGCTATAGCTTTCTCCCATTTAAAGAAAAAGAACAATCTAACATTAGTATTGCTACAAATATAAAACTGTGTTTTAACTTGTGAACTTCACAATACAATATAATCAGATACCAGTAAGCATTTCTTTTTCAGAGGAGCAGAGAATATTACACAATTTGATCTCTCAGAGGAACAACTATCATAGAATACTAGTTTTTGTCCTGTGAAATCATGAAAGCTTTGAACTTGAAGAGTCAATAGTGATGGGTAGCACTGGTACTTGTATGGTTTTACCCAGGACTGAGAAGGCCAGGATTCCAACATATGGTCACTTCAGCACGTAATGGTGGATCTTCTCATGGCCCCCAAACACAAGCTTGTATGCACACATTCTCATACAGGGCATGCGTACTTACATTCAGTCACTGAGGTTCTTTGTCCTAGCAAACTGAGCTGGAGACTTTGTACCCAGTCTGCTCCTTAAAGATGATTTTTTTTTTTCCTAAAATGTTGTTGTAAGTAGCAGCAGTTGCTGCCTCTAAGATCCTGAGAAGGAACAGAGTAGAAGGGCACTCTGCTTCCCATTAGATCTCATTCTCTGTGGTGCTAATTACATAGCACACTCAATACTGGGGTTAAGAATAGGTAACTACCATTCAAGAACACACTTTGCTACTGGCTGGTTTTTACAGCTAGCTTCCCAACTGAGCAGTATCTTAAAATTCTGTCCTTTTAAGAAGTTAGCTGGTAGTTTTTTTCCCTTTTAAGAAGTTAGCTGGTAGTTTTTACTTGAGAATTCCTTCATCTTAGGTCTCCATTTTGTTTAAGAATACCCACCAAAACTCAAATTACCACAATCTAAATATTCAACTTTAAATACTCACTGTTCTTCTTCTCTTATTCTGTAAGAGTAAGATGCAGTAAATTATCCTATACCTGTATATATTCTCTATAATTTCCCATGCAGTGGCATTTCCTTCTTTTTCCCTTTTATGAGACCCACACAAAATGACCAAAATATAGATTTAGTAACGGGGAAGCATAATTTAACAAAATCTTATCTGAACAATGGAATATTGAAAAAATAATTATTTTCCAGTTTCAAGAAGCTGACAAGTACTTCCAAGCTTCCAATGCGATCTAGGTATTTGTGAGTCAAGGTTTAAATCAACTATGTCTTAGTTTCATAAAGAAGAAAGAGTGAAGTTGAACCATAAAGGAAGCACGAATTCTTACGTACCAGAAATGTCATCTTCTTCATTCCATCCTGGACGATTTACTCTCTCTTCCACAATTGTCCCTGTCCTCCTTTTCAATAAATACTGTCGCCCAATTGTCATTTTTCCTGCCCTTTTGGCACCTTTTACTATTGTTTTTGAGAAAGTGCTATAAGTAATAAAACCAGAAAGAATATCAATTTAATATAAAGGCACCACTTAAACTTTTGACATCCACATAGCTCAAATGGTTTCTTCTCTATTTCCACAACCATTACCATTGTCCAGACTTTCATTAAATCTCTGCTTCTTTAGTTTATTTTTTTTTTTTTTTTTGGTATGGCAGTGGACTAATTTCCTATAAAAGGCCTTTGTCTGTCATCGAGACACTGCTTTAGGCAAAAAGTACATGAACCTAAAGTGGGACACAAACTACTTATTACCCTGAAGTTAAAATCCTGAGTTTGGCTTTCTGGTCAAGCATGCCTGAACCCATTCTGTTTATCATAGCACTGCCTCTGCAGTTTCCACGATCATGCTTTAGAAGCCCTCCCATATGGAAAGTCAGTCTGCTGCCCATATCTCCACTAAGTCAAGCTCTTTCTACTAACTCACAGGTCATATGACAATCATAGTTGGCAATACCTTCGTTTCTTAAATGCATTAGGTGTGTATGGGTGGTATTCTGCCTCTTACAGAAAAAGAATAATACAGGACCAGGCTGTGGTACAGCTGGCTAAGCTGCCACTTGCAACACTGGATCCCATACTGGAGCATGGGGTGGAGTCCTGGTTGGTCTGATTCCTATCCAGCTTCCTACCAACACACCTGGGGAAGCAGTGGAAGACGGCCCAAGAACTTGCATCCCTGCCACCCATGTGGGAGACCTGGATGGACTTTCTGGCTCCTGGCTTCAGCCTGGCCAAGCCCTGACTGTTGCAGCCATTTGGGGAGTGAGCCAGCAGATATCTCTCTCTCTCTGTTACTCTGCTTTTCAAATAAGTAAAATAAACCTTAAAAAATGGTAATACAATTTCCTCTTTGAGGAGAAAAATAAGAAATGGAGAATCCTTCAGCTTTAATTAAATGTAAACTAGGATGTAAATCACTTGGAGCTAAAAATACTTTATTCAAACAGTTCACCCTTTTTTTGCTGGCAGAAAATGTGGCACACGGTAGTTGTAACTCAGAGAATTAAACAGGGCCTATTCCCTGACTAATTAGATGGAAGTGAAGATTTTGATAAGATTCTCTAGATTGTGCTCTTTTCTTCCACAGCAATCAAAACTGTTGTTCTGTTTTTTTTTTTCCCCCAATTTGGTAATAAGTGAAAAGGATTCTTTTATCATCAGTTTTAACAGACCTTATCTTTAGTCACCTGCATGGTAAACCTGAAAGATACAAACATGTTTTACAGTTTTATTTAATTATTTGAAAGGCAGAGAGAGATATCGAGATTGATCCTCTGTCCTGTGGTTCATTCCCAAAATGCCTTAAACAGCTCGTGTTGGCCCATGTTGAAGCCAGGGGCCTGAAACTACATTTGGGTCTTCCACATATGTGGTGGGGAACCAAGTCTTTGCATCATCTTCTGATGCCTCTGAAGCACATTAGCAGCAAGCTGGATTGGTAGTGGAGGTGGGACTCAATTCCAGGTACTTCAATATGGATGTGGGCATCCCAAACAGCAAGCAGCTTAACCCACTGTGTACTCCTGTAACATGTTTCAGATAATTGCTGGGAATCATAAAATATTGATATTTCACAAGTTAAACATATTGTAAATCACTTTAGATGTAACAAACTCAATGGATTTTTTTTTTCATTTTTTTTCTCCAGCTAGCTCTCAAGGCAATTGTTAAAAAAATTTGTGATTTTTTTTTTTATTTTGAGAGGAGGAGAGAAAGATGTGTATACACACACACACACACACACACACACATACATTAATATATAAATGGTGTGAGGGAGGAAAGAGACAAACAGGGAGCACTCCCATCTAATGGTTAACTCCCCAAATGTTTCCAACAGCCAGGGTTGGGGCTACAGCCAGGAGCCAGTTGGCAATCCAGGTCTCTCACATGGGTGGCCAGGAGGCAACTACTAGGGCCATCACTAATGCCTCCTGGGATCTGCATTACCAGGAAGCTGGAATTAGGAACTGAAGTTAAGTATTGAATCCAGACACTCTGATATGGGATGTGGCTACTTAAACCACCAGGCCAAATGTCCATACTTCAATTCTTAAAATTTAAAAATTTTACACAACAGACCGGATACTGACATTTTTTCTGAAGGCTTCTAAGCCTGAAACATCATATGCAGTTATTTTTTAAAAAAAATTTACTTATTTATTTGAAAGGCAGTGTTACAGAGGCAGAGCTAGAGAGGG